TTAAAGTTAATAGACCAGTGAGTAGACTATCCATATACTTTCGACTAGTTTATAGACTTGTGCATCTATTAGTCATAGACTAGTCCTAGTTAATAGACTAGTGATAGACTAGTCCAATAGGCTAGTGAACGACTAGTCAATAGACTAGTGAATACTAGTCAATAGGCTAGTGAACAGACTAGTCATAGACTTGACGACTAGTCATAGACTATCGACATTAATTGACTAGTGCATCAGTAGACTACTTAAAGTCAATTGACCAGTGAGTAGACTAATCCATATACTATCGACTAGTTTATAGACTATTGCATCTATTAGTCAATAGACTAATCCTAGTCTATTCAATAGACTAGTGAATAGAATAGTCAATAGACTAGTTCATATATAATCAAGGCCAGTTAATAGTTAATAGACTAGTCCATAAACTAGCCAATAGACCAGTGAACAGATTAGTGATAGACTATCGAGAAGTTAATTGACTAGTGCATCGATTAATCAGTAGACTAGTTAAAGTGAAAGATCCTCCAGTTTAAATAGACCGTCAGTAGACTAGTCCTTACACTATCGACCAGTTAATAGACTTGTGCATCTATTAGTCAATAGACTAGTCCCTAGTCTATTCAATAGACTAGTGAATAGACTAGTCAATAGGCCAGTGAATATACTAGTCAATAGACTATTCCATGACTAGTCATAACTATCATACGCCATTGAATAGACTAGTCAACAGCTATCGACAAGTTAATAGACTATTCATCGATTATCAGTAGACTAGTGCATCGTCTAGTCAAAGTGAAAGATCCCCCATTTTCCCGTATAAAAAATATGTTTTTTACAAAAAATAAACTTAAAATCTTTTTTAAATCTTTAACAATTTATCAACATTTATATCATAACAATAAATCAACATCTTTTTATCATAGTTCTACACTACACATCTTTCGTTTAATTAAACAATAATCCACTAAAGCTATTTTTATACAAATTTAGCACGTGTAATTTATTATTTTTTTCCTTATCTTGTGTAATATACATTTTATTACAAACTTTAACTAAAAAATGATGAATTATTTAAAATTTCGAAATATTTTAATAATCTATCAAAATACTTGTCAATTTGATAGAATTAAAGCTTAAATTCTATATATAGACCAACTTGCGATACTAACTGTTAGCAACAATTGAAAGAAATTTGTTTAATTTTTGTAAGAAACTCAAGTTTATCATAATTCTTTCTTGTTATCAGATACGTGACTAAAAGCGGTAGAATTCTTGTCATTTTTTTATCTATTATTTGACAAAAGGTTTTAAAATTTATGTCAAGTTATAAATTTTATATTTAAATGTTACATTTAATAATTGGGCTAAATATTTAAAAAAGCTGAAGTTTTAAAACATACCGGCAAATGGGGTTATTGATGCACAATCATAAATTCGGGGGGAATTAGTTGATGGTATATTGATATGATAACAAGTACTTTGCAAATGATTGAATCATAAATTTATGAAATTTTGGTTTAAACATATTAACAAACATCCAGATTGGAAGAGTGATCAATGTGTCATACTTTTAAAGGGGAATATTTTGTGTTTAAACCATTAACTTATAGTTGCGAATTTAGTTTTTTTGGAACGTGAAAGTACCAAAACCTGTAACCTGACAGTCCCAAGACTTAACGAACATAACTATTACCTTGATGGTTAGTATGACTTCAAGCTTTTTTGTTGGTTTTATGTCATAAACTTGTCATTGTGTATCTAAAGAAGTAAGGAGTTCTATCCATATCTATCTATCTATCTATCTATCTATCTATCTATCTATCTATCTATCTATCTATCTATCTATCTATCTATCTCTCTATCTATCTATCTATCTATCTATCTATCTATCTATCTATCTCTCTATCTATCTATCTATCTATCTATCTATCTATCTATCTATCTATCTATCTATCTATCTATCTATCTATCTATCTATCTATCTATCATCTATCTATCTATCTATCTATCTATCTATCTATCTATCTATCTATCTACTTCTATCTATCTATCTATCTATCTATCTATCTATCTATCTATCTATCTATCTTCTATCTATCTATCTATCTATCTATCTATCTATCTATCTATCTATCTATCTATCTATCTATCTATCTATCTTCTATCTATCTATCTATCTATCTATCTATCTATCTATCTATCTATCTATCTATCTATCTATCTATCTATCTATCTATCTATCTATCTTCTCTCTATCTATCTATCTATCTATCTATCTATCTATCTATCGATCTATCTATATATATCTATCTATCTATCTTATCTATCTATCTATCTACTATCTATCTATCTATCTATCTATCTATCTATCTATCTATCTATCTATCTATCTATCTATCTATCTATCTATCTATCTAGCTATCTATCTATCTATCTATCTATCTATCTATCTATCTTATATCTATCTATCTATCATCTATCTATCTATCTTCTACTATCTATCTATCTATCTATCTATCTATCTACTCTATCTATCTATCTCTCTATCTATCTATATCTATATATCTATCTATCTATCTATCTATCTATCTATCTATCTATCTATCTATCTATCTATCTATCTATCTATCTATTATCTATCTATCTATCTATCTATCTATCTAGCTATCTATCTATCTATCTCTCTATAAAACCTAATGTGAAGGATCACACTAAAGCTGCTAAAATAGTCTCTAAAACGTAAATTTTACTTTAAATTGAAAAAGGAAGCCTAAAAATTTTAAATATTTTTGAATTAATCAACATCACCACCTCTGTTATTGTTACAAAATTCTTTAAAAAGTATTAAAAATAATTATAATATATATTTTTACTTACCCGACTATTCATAAGAGTTTTATTGCCCATACAAGCGGCCATATGTATCACAAGATATAAATTAAATAATAAATATAAAATGGCAAATATACCTAAAGTGAAACAAAAACAAATTAGATTTAAACATAGAATATGATAAAAAAGCAAGTCACTTACAAACTACAGCTAAAACTCCACCCTCAATATTTAAAGCCTCCACTTGATTAATAACAAAATATAAATTAACAGCAATAACAACAATTGTCAATAATATTGAAACAATTTTATTGCCACTAAAGAAAATAAGAAAGAAAATTGGATTAATATTAAAGTTAATATTATTAATTATTTCCACTTACATTCCATTAACAAATTCACCCATTATAGCGGAACACGAAGTAAATGCTATCGTTGGTATGGCAGCGAAAGGCAATTGCAATGACATTACAGCATTTAAAATATCATTCATATTTGTTAAATCTTCCATTTTACTGAAAAGAGCCAAACAGAAAGTGGGTACAATGGCAATCAAACGGGTGAACAAAACACGACGCCAGCGGGGCCATTGTAAGTTCAAGAAACCCTCCATTGAGAATTGACCAGCATAGGTACCGGTCATGGTGGAAGATTGACCACAGCTAAAATACCTACACCCCAAATATACATGGCAGCCACACCAAAGGTACAACCCAAAAAGAGACCACTTTTATATAAATCAGCATCAATGATGGCGGTACCATTTTGATTGTCCACAAACGAATGTTTGGCATCTTCATACATACTTTGATTTTGACAAACTTGTAGCTAAATGCACAAAAAAAAACAAATTTAATTGTTTCTTTTTTAATATTTAGTATGTTATATACTTACCACATCATTATTGGTTTTACCATACATGCCATGGGCAAAGACCGCCACCACAAATAAATTGATAATGAATGAAACAAACAAGGCGACTGCGGCTTCAATGAAAAAATAATAATTAGCTTCGCGTACTTTTGTGGGCTGACGACGATCAACATCACGAGACTATAATAAATATTAGAAATGAAAAACGTGTCATTTTTTAATTGTTATTGTTTTATTGGTTTGTTTTTTCTTTTTCGATTTGTATTTGTTTATTTAATTACCTTGACTAATGCCGAATGTAAATACAAATTGTGTGGCATAATAACTGCACCCACTACGCCTACTGCCTGCAGTAAAACTTCTGAGTTGCAATCCTTACACCAGGGCACAAACATACCTTCTAAAACTTCACCTTGATTGGGTGCTGAAACAACGTACTGAAATTAAAATGAGATTTACATATTAGATTGATCATCTTTTTCATAAATTTCCTAGAGTTTTTAACCTAAAAATATAATTTCATCAAAATACACTTTCTTCAAAATACACTTAATCAATTCAAATATAAAAAGATTATGAAATCCACTAATAGTCTTATGAAAACGTACTCCTTTAAATACTGAATATGCGGCTAACCTAGCAAACGTTCCTAACTTACATACTTCACGACTATAGTCAGATGATCGCGGACGGAACACCTACGATATGGAAAGAGTTCTCCTTATATAAAACGTTTTAGATCAATGCAGATGTAAGACTGTGTTCTAGAAGTAGCAGAAATGTAACGTTATCGAGAGATTTCCGCCAACTTGGGGTCTAGTTTATAATAACATTTGAAAAAAGAGTGTCCCACAGACGACGTTCTGATGCAACAGATCTTAAACAATCTGATGTTCACACATCTGAAACAAAACATGACGACAAGAACCAGTATTTCAGCTTTTAAAAACGTAGCAAACATTTCTAACTTCCATACTTCACGACTATCAGATGATCAAGGACGGACTACCTAGGATTTTGAATGCGTTCTCTTCGGATGAAACGTTTTAGATCTATACAGATGTAATATTGATTCTCAGCTTTTGTATGTGTTCTAGAAGTTGGACAGATGTAACGTTATCCAGAGATATCCTCAATAAAAGATCTTTAAAACTGTCAACTTTGGATCAAGTTTATAATACACATTTGAAAAAATGTAACACGGGTGACCTCAACAAAACCTACGATTTTGGATGGATTCTCTTTGGATAAAACGTTTTAGATCTATACAGATGTAAGACTGAAAGTTGATTTTTGTATGAGTTCTAGAATAGGAGAGATGTAGCATTATCCAGCCTAAGATCTCGATCATAAAAAGAGCCTTAAATCTCTTTCTGGGAAGTGTAACAACATCTATATTATTTCACATTGTAAGGGCAATTTGTTCTATTCGTTTCGGAGGAACGATCACTGAGGCAAGATCAGCTTTAAATCCAAGACTAGAATTAAAGTCCTGACTCCATAAGAATTAATGCTCCGATATCTTAATCATAAAAGGTCAAATCACTCCTAGATTTCTAAACGATATAAGAATTGCTTAATGATGATTATTTAATAGAATTTCAGTCTAATATACAGCAGAAACATGCTAGTTATCGCGGCTTACATGGCTCTTTATATTCCATAGTCCAGTATGATATTTTAAGAAAAACCCTAAAACCTGATGAGAGGAAAAAACTTTCGATTAATACAACTGTCGTTGGGTTCACCATCTTTGAATAATTATGACTCGGGTTGTTTCATAACGAAGGTCCAATTATTTTAAGAACAAGAAAATGACTTGAGAATCGGCTGTTGGTTCAATGTATTCAGTCGTTGTTTGGTACCAATACGACACTTTCTCATGATGTAATGACCGGACATTTAAATCCGTTCAAACAAAGTAACTAAAGTTCCACCTTTAAGAGATTGAAATCAAGTTGAAATGCCCCTAGATCGACTGCTTTTATAGGGTCTTAGAGAGAGCGAAATCGGGAGAGTCGATATCTCCATTACGCTCATTTAAGAGGACAAGTTCGAGATCTATAAAATGTTTAAGACTAAGTCTGGGATGAGTATAGGCGATTGGATCAACACCGAGTTATATTCTCTTAAGATTTCGCCCGTAAAACAAGCACTAAAAATCACGCTTGTTTCACGATAAAATTACGAGATATTGTTTATTTTCAGACGAACTAGCTTAAACTAGTTCCCACTTTTAAGAGAAGGGAATCAACTAGTAAGTTGCACTTATGTTTTCAAATATATGCGGAAACTTATAGGTCTTCTTGGACCATATGGTTTTGTAGGCTTCGATGGTACTTTTAAAAGTTTAATTATAGAGTTATTCTAACTGTTGCGGATGAAAAAATTAAAAGTAGAGAGTAAGCGAGAGAGAACTTTATGTGTTGCTGACTATTCAGACATTCAATGTAGAGACATTTATGGTCTTTATATGACACAGATAGGCTGATTTAGGACCTTCATAATAGTGTCCATTTATGTTATTGGTAGCTGTGCTAATAGTCCATAATAGGAATTCAAGCCTTGTCTAATCTTGGCACCGATAAGTACTATGGCTTTAGGCACTTCGTTTCTACATGCTATTGCAATCACTATACGGATCATTTGAAAGTTATGTATTCTTCTCCGAAAGCCTTTACGAATTCTTTAGCAAACCTAAGACTTTTATCTAAATAGTGTAGGGCACACCACAAACTATTATACTAATTATTTAGTTAGAAGCATCAAAGTAAATTTTAAATTAATTATAGTATGTAGTTTATATCTTATTTTCCAAGTTAAAGATAAGAATGTGACAACTTTTTTTTCGCAGAAAAAAACAGACAATAAAGTTCATTGTGACAGGTGGTTTTTATTAAATATTTAAATTGTAAAAAAAATTAAGATAAGATAAAATTCGCGGAAAAAGTTTGCAAGGAAATTTAATGAAAAATTTTTATATTTGAAAAAATAGGTTAATTTTTAAATAAATTGCTTTAAAAGTTCAATGTTGTAAACAGAAAGAAAAACAATAAAGGCACGTACGACATGTATAGATCCACTAGGTGATGCTTTAGTTTTAAATTTCTACTAGCAGTTCAACAAGTGGTACTGCATCCGAAAAAGACAGTAATTTGTATTAAAGTCTATACGAAAGTTGTTTGCAATGTTCTTATTGTAAAGCAGAAGAAGCTCACTATATTCTCTCCTAGTATCGATAAAGTGGACACATGGAACTTGGTTTTTATTGTACTTAAGGAAATAGTTATTCAGATCCACAGAATTAATCTATTACAGAGCCCATTAGTAATCGAAGTAATGTCCTACTAGGACAGCTAAGCTGTAGCTAAATTCTGTATCCAGGGTAACTCTAAATAATAGGTCAAATCAAGGGCTGTGGAATGCTACCACGAACTGCAGGAATATATAAAGTTTACGAACCCTATGACTACATCAATAAAAGTGTTTAGAAATCAAACCTTTACAGAAGGAAAGATGAACAGACATCGGTAAATCAATTCCGAAAAGGATTCTGAGAAGATTATTACACTTTATGGTGGGTGTAGGACTAATATTGCTATCAATGATTGTGGAATACTACCCCCTGAACTACAGCAATATATAAAGTTTACAATCCCTGCAACTACATCAATAAAAATGTTTAGAAATGAGTTTAGACATAAATTTCTGAAGGGGTTAAGGTATAGTCAAATCACTAAGAACATTTTCAATATCCTCTAGGTTTATAAAAAATTTAGTTGTGCCGATTTATATAGTGATATATCTATGTATCTAGATTACAGTATACAAGGACAGACGGACGCATAGACGGACATCACTAAATCAACTCCGAAAAAGATTTTGAACCGATTTTGGTTGGTGTAGGAACAATATTACTATGCGTTATGACTAAAGTGGTTTTAAAAATGTTTGTTTTAGCAAAACTTTTAAAAAATATTACTTTCAATAAAAGTTATAAATAATAAATACGTGAGACTTCTCAAACATTTGATAATCTTCACAAAATAATTCTCATAAATTCTTAAAATTTCAGATTAAATCTATTTGACAAAAAAAAATGTATTTAATGTTTTTATAAATACCTCATAGCCAAATGTCACAGCCATAACAGTGATAAGAAAACCGAATAGAAATTCTAGTTTACGCAGACCATATTTATCTAAGAACAAAAACGTAAATGTATCGATAATTGTTATCAAAACACCGCCCCACAAAGGAACTCTATAATTAAAAATAAATCACAATTTATTAAAACAAAAAAAAACTAACAAATGAAATTATAATTGCAAATACTTACACTTTATTCGATAGTAAATATATGGCTACAGCCGTACCAATGACCTCTTGCATATCGGAACCTATAATGGCGATTTCAATCATAATCCATAATATAAAACGGGAATTTTTTTATATTGACGATAGCACATCTCAGCTAAATGTAGACCAGTACAACACCCAGTCTAGCATAATAAAAAGAATTATTAACATTATTTGTTAAACAATAATAATAATAATAATAAAATTAATACCTTGCAGCCAAGCGTTGCATTAGTAAACCCAACACGGTCGCCCACAAGAGAACCAGAGAATTTTATATTTTGCTGCTGCACCACTTTGTAAATCAGATTCAATGTTACCCGGATCAAGATACGCAATTGACATTAGAAAACCGGGCCCTGTGAAGGCCCATAATTTACGCCAACTGAAACCCACCTTAATAAATAATAAATTAAAATTTTGTTTAACTTTTACAACAACAAAAATAAAGATTTATTCCTTACCTTATCGGTTTCGGGTATCAAAACTTTTTCATCACTAAAATAGGCCTGTTTTGAATCACCTCTTAAGTGTGTCTCTTCATTCGGTACTATCTGTTGCTGTATTTGTGATATGTTTGGCTTACTGGTGCTCGGCCCCGCACTGCCGCTAAAAGATGCAACCGATCCATTGCCTCCATTTGTTCTTCACTACGATTATAGGCATCATTTGATGACATACTCGTACTTTTGAAGTGAAAATCTAAAAGTGAAATGACAATAGAACGCCATTAATTTAAATATATTTCCCAGTAAATAATAAAAATTGCTTTTTTTTTTGTTAGTTGTGTAAATTTAAGCTTAATTATTTTGTTTCTCTACTAAGTAGTTTACAGTTTATCAAAGTAAAAAAGGGAAATGTCTGAGTGATAAAAAGTTTTTTTCATGATTTCTCATATGAGCTTTTTCTTTAAAGCATATCGTCAGTTACAATGCAGGTTTACGTTTATATTTATATTTTCAATTCAAAAAGTACCATTTGAAAAGCGTAAAAGTACCAAAATTCCCTTCTTATAAATTCTTATTAAATCGAGACCCAGTATGTTTAGTTTTATGGTACTATGTTCATTATTAAGAAGAAAAAGTACCATTTGAATAACGAAAAAGTACCAAAAACTCCCTGTATGTTAAATTTTATATTTCTGGCTTCAATATTATAGAAAATTCAAAAAGTAACCATTGAATCATGAAAAAGTACCAAAACGTTTCGTATTATAGATACCTATCCAATGAGGCACTTATTTGTTTAATTTCTTGGGTTTTGGTTCCATACTTAAAAGTACCAAAAATATCCCTTTTATAGATTCCCATTGAATCTGAATCTTATATATATATATCATTCTTAATTATTATCTCTACCATTTCAGATAACGATATGTAGTTATATAATTTATATATACATTCATACATGATGTTAGATCTAAACAAAGTATTTAAGTTTTGATTAGCATGTTGTGTGAGCAAAAAGTACCCAATTTTTAAAATGTAAAAAAAAAAAAACTTTTTGTTTCTTTTATGATTTACGAATAGAATAACAAATTAAGAAAATAGCTAAATTATTTTGTTATATTATTAAATAATACAATTACAAAAATATATTTAAAATAATGGGGGATTTTTTAGCGATTGACAAAAAAACTATAATAAGCTAAAATTACAGTTTTTTTCTCAATAACTAATAATTGATAAGCCAGGCATAAAGTGTACATGGTTAGTGTAGAACTACTGTAATCCCTCGTTTTACGATTGACGTCGCCACATTTTTGATTCCTTTTCCAATTTGTCGAAATTCAACCATTTTGAATGGGTTCTGTTTCTATCTATCTATCTATCTATCTATATCTATCTATCTATCTATCTATCTATCTATCTATCTATCTATCTATCTATCTATATCTATCTATCTATCTATCTATCTATCTATCTATCTATCTCTCTATCTATCTATCTATCTATCTATCTATCTATCTATCTATCTATCTATCTATCTATCTATCTATCTATCTATCTATCTATCTATCTATCTATCTATCATCTATCTATCTATCTATCTATCTATCTCTGTCTGTCTGTCTGTCTGTCTATCTATCTATCTATCTATCTATCTATCTATCTATCTATCTATCTATCTATCATCATCTATCTATCTATCTATCTATCTATCTATCTATCTATCTATCTATCTATCTATCTATCTATCTATCTATCTATCTATCTATCTATCTATCTATCTATCTACCTATCTATAGGTAATTTTTTATACATATTTTGATCTTGACAAATCCCCAGACCTGTACCAAATCATAAAAATTCTGACACAGACCTGCTCTAACCAAGAACTCTTTACACATATCTTATCGCCAAAACAATGTTTTATGAGACCACAAAGTTGTGTCAACATTTGGCAAACAACGAACACACCTTTATATAAAAATACACGTGTTTTATTAAATTTTTATTGTAATAAAAATAAATGTCAATAGATAAATGAATATAGTATAAAATTTATGAAGATAATGTCTTTAATAATAACTCTTTAAGGCAATAAAAATAAAGTTTGGTCCAATAACTCAAAATTGCTTATAATGATACTCATTAGGTACTTTTTGAAACATCCCAAAATAACGCAACATTCTTACGACTAAAGGTGGAAGCACACAACACGCATTGTACGCGGCAACGCGTTATAGGCTTCTGTCAAAAAAAAGTTGAAATAGTGTATTTTCATTTAACAAGTTACACATTGTAGTTTGTAACGCATCTGCCGTGAAAAGTTCAGCAACTTTCAACTTTGACGCGTCGGCAGCTGATAAGGGTTGTATTTTGCTTTCTTTAGAATAAGAATAAACTAAAATGAAATAAATTTCTTCAACAATGGAAGAAAAATATTCAGAAATATACAAAACTTTACATTTTGATTTTGAAAGTGTGAAACGCGTTGCCACCTTAACATGTGTTGTGTACTTCTACATTAATTAAGTACTTTTTCCGTATTAAATCTTCACAACTATTTCGGAATCATGAAAGTTACTCCGAATTTCGATATACAATGTATTTAACATTCAAATTCGATCATTTTTTATTACGAATCCGGTTACAAAGCAGCTATCGTCTTAAATTACAATTTTAAAAACGTTATATTAGAATTATTTTGCATAATGATTTGCATATATAAGTAGGAGATCTATTTTAGTAGGATAAACTATATTTTTATTAGATTTTTCTTAATGTGACTTCTGTTAAGATAAAACTATTTAAATAGTATTATAGTATTCCTATAAAAATCGCTAGTTTATATAGATAAAACCGCAATTAAATATAAAATATTGTAATTATATTAAGAAGTACTTCTTACTATAAGTATCCCAGCAAATAGTACCACTTATCGGTAGCAAAAGGTAGAAATAACTGAATGAAGGATACTTGAAAATAAAACAAATATTTTAAGAAATATATGTATAAGTGTGAAGACTTAAATGTAACCTTATACTTAGTGTGAACACAAATTGTTCACTGGGTTTGCGAATGTTTAATTTCATACAACTTTTAATTGTATACTCTGATTTTCCATTCATGTAATCTAAACAAATTTTGAATTGTTTGAAATCTTTCGTTTTAAAATTAATTAAAACTTGGAATGTGAAATTATTAAAAATTATTAGCTTATTAATTTGTATAATATACAAAGTTAAATTTATACTACTCTTTATACAAGCAATTAAGTAAAACTAAAATACAATGGATAACAAACACTTTTGTCAGTTAAAATTTTTATTACAGGTATTCATTTAAAATAATAAAATTCAAGAAAAGAATTAAATTTTATTATATTTAACGCAAAAATAAGATAACATAAACCAGTAAATATACTTAAACTGGAAAGTTGTTATAAAAACATAATACAACTTGACATAAAAAGAGATTTGCAGGAAAACTTTGATGGAAAAAGTTTCAATATAATTCACAGTTTCAAAATCATATGTTTTGTTAATTAGTTTTTAATTGCCTTAAAACTTTAAACTGTGATTACCCTTAATATTCTTTAACGCTTAAATACATAACGACAATTGTCCGACTGACTGGCTAAAGCAAAACAAAATTATTTCATTTGACAGTTACAGACATCATAAAAAACGCAAAAAAAAATTCAATTAAATTGATGAGCAATAATAATATTCAATGTACACAAACATTTTTATAAATAAATACATAAGTACTTTCATATTTATTTATGAAAAAAGTGGTACAGATTGGCTTATCAGCAACAGAAGAAAATAAATAATAAGTTAACAATATGATGACGAATCTTAAATGCATTTTTAATTTTTACTTAATACAGTGGTTGTGTTTGCAATAGATACAGTAGATAAGGAGTCCACTTCTAAAAGGTTACGCGCTATCATTTCTCGGTAACAAGTGATTTTGTGCAACCAAAAAAGTAAAGTAAGAAAATTTGTCGAGATAAGTTTAGGGCAGAACAAAGAGGTATATTTCATCGGCTACGGGTCTTGAAATGTTGAAACCTAGAGTCGAATTAGCGAAACAAAGATCGGAAGGCCTCACTACGAAGAGATTCAAGGGAATCTGTTTTGACTGGAACACACCACTACTCGTCAGATTTATACGACTGTATAGCATTTAATCCTACCTGTAGTCGTGGAGGTAGTTGCCAAGGAATCTATATCTCCTGGTAGTTAGGTCAGGTCATTCTTAGAGAAAGTAGAATACCGTTTCTTCCTTTTCCCTGTCACTGCAACTATGACAGTGTTCATTGAAGCGGAGCTCAACCCCAATATGCCCCGACTATTAGGGTTATCAGTTGCACAATGCCTTTTACGGTTACGGAGTTGCACATACATAGCTTTTTTCAGCCTGTTTAAGAATTAACTGAAGATACTACTATTAATAGACCCCTGCGGAATTCAACTGAAGACACAGTGGAGATATTTAAAACAGATAAGCAGATGCCCACACTAGTGTGATGTCAATATGAATGTAGTTGTGTAGGAAGTTAATAAAAGAGTTTGAAAATAGGGGACCTATATTCCAAAAGGTCCCTGATTGACACAGAGAAGGCTCCAGAGCTCAAATATTTCATATACCAATACTGGTGTAGTAAATTATAGGTGCTCTACTCTAAACGTTATTATTTTCCTAATTGGTAGAGTCTTTTCTGCAACTGAACGATCAGGTTACCCTTTCAAAGACTTGACTATAGACTTGATAAGATAATATTATGTTTAGAAGGTACCGATTCTGAAAGCCGGAAAATTGCGTCCATTATAACAATGATTCCTAAAGAGATTTCAGGAATAGAAACCTATTAGATGCTCTACTTTAAACGTTATTATATTCCTAATTGGTAGAGGCTTTTCTGCAACTGAACGATCTGATTGACCCCTGAAAACCGCTCAATTTGGTCTAGACTATAGACCAGATAAGATAAGATTATGTGTAGAAGGCACCAACTCTGAAAGCCGTACAATTGCGCCCATTATAACACTGATACCTAAAGAGATTTCAGGAATAGAAATGCTCAAAGAAAACACATCCCATCTTAGAGAGGAAGAAAGCATCTTCATTTTATTTTGGATCAATGGCTTCATGACTTCTTCTGATTATATAGTTTAGACATCATCTCCCTTCAAAGCGATATCGCTGATAACTAAAGAGGTTTCAGGAAAAAAACCCATCCTCCTACAT